CATTGGAAACGGAGAGAAGTTTCGTGTCTTATGCATGTTATGGCTGTAATACAACACATTCTGAATGAATTTGATAGAAATACGAGACTGTGGATGCAAGCGACATGGTATATTTCATGGTTGTGCGAATGGCATCAATAATAATGATGAGAATATTCGAGAAAATAAAGAGCTTTGTAATTCGAGACTGAGCTCAATGAAAACTAAAAATTCTGTGATGACGGGGCTGAGGAAACATTGATGTGATAAAAGGTAAAGTTTGAATACTGTATAAGACGAGACAATTTCTGTAAATGAGGAACACATGTCCGTCGTTATGATAACCATTTAGACCATGAGTTCTCCCAGTCCCAATTTACAGGTCCAGAAAAATCACTATATTTAGCTATAGGCCTATAGCTAAATCTACCTATATGTATATATAGCTTTATTTACCTATATAATGTAGCTTTATTTAGCTATTTCGGAGTAAATTTCTTTTTATCAAAAGCAGACAAAAAGTCGCATAATAAGGCAGTATTAGTTTTCAACTTTGAAATGGACTGAAAACAATTCACCAAAAACACACTTTTAAAAATGTTAAATACATGTAGGTAGATATAGGTAAATTAAGCTATATAGCTAAATATAGTGATTTTCCTGGACCTGTTTAACTATAGCATACACCAAAAGAGTTAGAACACATCATTAAAATTAAAAATTAATTATCTCATTCTAGTACATTAAGTTTTAAAATTATAGAAAATCATTGTTATTATTCAACAAAATTATACAAGTAGACCATATATGTCACACGTACAGCATTGTAGATCTCATGTACATGTATCTATTGCAAGCTTCAAATTCTGAAAATCCAAATATTTCCTACTGAGGAATTGAAAATGAAGAATACTATTATAATAGAGAAGTAAACTAAAGTTTGATTTTAACAGGAAAGGGAGAGAACAATAAGGACAACTCCAGGATATGACTACAATGTCACCCAAGGCTTAATTCCCAAAATATAGGACTGTGATGCTTTATCAATCAAGCTTTCTGACCACAGTAAGGCACTCATGACTGTGACAGATACTTCCTTATTATCACATTGAAGGTAAAAAATTCAAATATCATAATCTCCTTCAACACACAAAACAGTATCAAATTTAGGACAGATCAGGAAGTGCATTTATAAACAACAGTATGGCTAGATGTTAATTGTGTTATGTCATGATACACTTGAACTGTATCATGATTCATATCAAAACATGGAAGCAAATTGAAAAGGGGGGGGGGGGGGCAAAACCAACGAAAATGGTTAAATCCCAATTTTCAATGCCTACATGTATATAATGTCTATTTTTGCAAAAAAAGGGGGAGGGGGCTAAGCCCCCCCCCCCCCCCCCCCCCTCCTCCAGTTCCAATGCCTATGCAAAATGTCACGATTCAAATTTTTAAAATAAATTTGTCTTTGTTCTGATATATGAAATTCTGAATCTCATTTTCTAAGATAAAAAAATCTTAAATGAGGTTTATTCTATCAGTTCACAAATTATGATTTAACAGTTCTGAATAGTGTACATTACAATAAATACACAAAAGTAAATGATTTACAGAAGTGAAAATTCTTTAACTAGGTTAAAAGACTAAAAAGAAATGGCATACATTGCAATATCCCTACACTAGCCACAGTTTTATTTTTTTTAGTGTAAAGTAAGCTTGAGTAAATCAGGAAAATGTTGCATCATAATGTATTGTATTTGACTTGTTATGCCCCCATATTCTTAGATTTGGGAGTATATATTTTTTGCCCTGTTTGTCCATCTGTAGGTCTATCTGTCTGTCTGCCTGTTTGTCCACAAAATCTTTAATGCAGCTCACATTTTGATGTGTGGGTCTATTGCTTTCATATTTCACATATGTATTCCTTATGTAAAGACCTTACTGCGGGTACAACCAAATTTGACCTTGACCTTTGGATTTTGACTTGCATTTGAAAAACTTCAATTTTTGCCATAAGCTGCCATGCAGGGCATCAATGTTTCGTAAATGTCTTGTTTTCTGATATCATTCATAATATCATGATGACATTGTAGTTTTGTAACCATGCAACTACATGTGCATGGCATTGTGTTTATTATCTAATTTGTTGGAATGTCTTGCATGTATCTGTTATTCATAAATTTAGCGTAAATGACTAGTGTTTTTTTTTATATGTGTATATAAGTAAATAGACAGTGTGAGAAATATGCATTTATCACAATTAAATTTTTTTTTCAGGCTGATTTTTGAAGTCCTGACCTTTCTACCTAAACAGAAATGTATGAATGTCAACATCACTGTTTCAATCACTCAGCACCCTACCATCAAAGTGACCATATACCATCAAAGTTGATATGGTCTTCAAAGACAAAAACAGTGGATGTGATCTTCAGAGACAAAAGGAGCCCCCAAAAGAAGTCACTCTTGTTTAACTGGGATAATTTTTTCACATGTATTATCGTTTTACACATACATATTTTTAAGTAGAAGTAACAGTTATAAGTTATTCAACATATTTTTTATGCCCCCTTCGAAGAAGGTAGGGCATATTGCTTTGCTGCTGTCCGTCGGTCTGTCGGTCCACTTAGTTTCCGTTCATTTTCTTCACAACCGTTGCACATACTGAAATGAAATTTGGTATACAGATTTATCAGATGAATACCTAGGCCAAGTTCTCTTTTGGGTACGATCGTGCCATTTTTTACAGAGTTATGCCCTTTGGACTTAGAAAAAATCCAATTATAATCTAAGCATTTGTCCTTAAGGAGATATGAGTGGACATGTATCCAGTTAAAGATAATTAATGAGCTTAGTGTGGGAAGTTAGGCATCTCTGATCATGTGTTATCTTTATCTCCTGAGAATTCGATAACAGGAGGAAAGATCTCTCTTCTCTAATTCTCTTAATTGTAATTTATTGCTTGTCAAAACATTTACATGTATTTACCAGCCTTTTTATGCCCCCCTTCAAAGAAGGGAGGGCATATATTGCTTTGCTGCTGTCTGTTGGTCCATTTAAGTAAATTAAAAAAAAAAAAACTAAGTCTTTTAAATTTTAAATTTCATAATCCTAAAAAATGTAAAAATATAGTTGTATCCTTATTCAAAAAATGTTAAATTAAGTAAAAACTTATTTTTTCATAATCATATACTTTACAGCAATCTGTAACAAATGTTAATGTTTTGAGAGGAATTCAGTTTGTCCCATGGGCATAATTATCAAGCACTGGTCAAGAAGAATTTTGATAGCAGAAATTTGCAGGTCAAATCAGAGAAATTAATGAGTTTATTGTCAGGAGCTAATTGGTAGTCTAAAGCGAGAGCATCTCTAGATATGATCATCTTAATTTATCTCTTGGGAGTTGGGTAAAAAGAAATGGCCTCATAGTTGCTTGTGTTAATTAAGAGTTCTTGATGGCTATAGTTCAGATAAAGATCTTTCAATTGGTGTAGTGTAATTAAAATAAATTGATGTTTTAGTGTATGATTAAAACTAAATTATTATTGTATAATACAGTAAAACTTGGTTAGTACGAACACGGATATTGCGAATTCACGGATATAGCGAAGTTATCTTGGATCCCCAGTTATATAAATGTAACATATTTCTTATACAGATATAACGAATTACTGATATAGCGAAGTAATTTCATAGGTCCTAGTGACTTCGTTATAACCGAGTTTTACTGTATAATGAAAACTAATTATGCCCTCCTTTGAAGGAGGGAGGGCATATTGCTTTGCTGCTGTCTGTCGGTATGTTGGTCTGTCGGTCCACTTAGTTTCCAGTCATTTTCTTTGCAACCGTTGCACATACTGAAATGAAATTTGATATACAGATATATCAGATTAATATCTAGGTCAAGTTCTTTTTGGGTACGATCGCACCATTTTTACAGGGTTATGTTCCTTAGACTTAGAAAAATTCCTGTTATTTGCAGTTTCTGTTCATTTTCTTTGCAACCATTGCGCATACTGAAATGAAATTAAGCATACAGATTTATCATAGATATCTAGGTCAAGTTCTGGTTTGGGTACGATTGCACCATTTTTGACAGAGTTATGCCCCTTTGACTTTGTAAAAATTTCAAATTATTTGCAGTTTCCTTTCATTTTCTTTGCAGAGGTTGCACATACTGAAATGAAATTTGGTATACAAATGTATCAGATAAATATTTTGGTCAAGTTCTGTTTTGTGTATGATCGTGCCATTTTTGACAGAGTTATGCCCTTTGGACTTGTAAAAATTCCAATTTGGGGAGAGGGGGGCATAAGTGTTTTACAAACATCTCTTGTTTTCTTTTAATTTGAATACATGTAGAGGCAAATGATAAAATGATCACATCAGAGTTTCATTGTGTTGTTATATTTATGTATGATACTATCAATCATAACAAGTTTGATACCGGAAATCCAGGAAAAACACCCTAAATGTGTATTTATTTTGCAATGTTTTTCATAAGTATTTTTTTTATGCAAGTTCATCATACATAGTACCTTTGCTGCCATACAGAGATTATGTATTTTTACTTTATTTTAAATGTCATAAAGATTCAACTTGAGATAAATTTCTGCTCTTTACTGAATCAAATGGAATGTGGAAAAAATACAAAGATACAGAAAAAAACCCTCACCTTCTTTTAGTTGTGGACAATGTTGACATGAGGAAAATTGTTCTGCCCCCTTTTATATAGAGTTAAATTGATTGTACTGTATTACTTTTAATTACAATAAACCCTAACTATTTAAAATT